GCAGCCGGTGGTCAACTTTCCTCGGCAAGGCCGTACGTGTTCTGGCAGCGCGAGCTGTCACCGCGCTCACGACACGTTTGTCCTTTCAGTACGATCCGAGAGAAAGTGGGAAAAGGTCGAACGAGTTACAAAATTGTAACGCTATTACCGCAATAACTAGCAGCAGCCAACTTCACGATCGCTCGTTCCAGAGGCAATTTATTCTCAAATTGCAACATTTAGAAATGCTTGCCTAACTTTCGATCGGGACCATCGATAATTTCCTCTTCTTGATTTCGTTGCGAGCGTCACTTTCTTTGCCAAACTTGTGTAATTAAAAGGATTTATTTTGTTGTATCCAAGTTGTGGAAAGTATTTTTTCTTCCTTTATTTTTTTTTTTCTCGTAGTTGGATGATCACATGATTTAAAGTAGGGCAACCGGGATGAAGGAGAGAATGGAGGGGGCGAGTTTAAATAGAATCGTCCGCGGTGCTCGTTTTTATGTTGTTTTAATGGGTTCGCGTTGCAGTGCTGCGTGGAGTTGGAAGATTTAACCGAGATACCTGTTTGTGGTTGTAGTTGGTATATCGGGTAATGGTGTTTGTAATAGAGAGATAAAAATATATTTGAGTATCTTGTTTTCCTTACGTACTTTGATGCGATTCTATAACGCTATGTTTTCATTTCTTTAAAAAATCTATCACTTTAAATGTATCCCGAATAATGATTCTTTTCACAAAATTGGGATATAAGTACAACTTTTTTTATTCGAGATAATTCGTGATTCATTTTTTGAAATTCTACAAATATAAATATATAATAAAATATAATATTCCAAATCATCAGATTCTCATATATATATTGATATTAAATCTAACATTAAGCAATTTCATTTGACATCTAATCATTATGCTCTAATATATTTTATCGATCGTAAGCATTCTATTTTATCCATACATTTTTCTATTCTCTTGCCTTAATCTTCAAAGAAATTACGATATAATTTATTACCAATGACAAAACAAAATGGTAAAAGCGATTACCATTTAGATGGATTATATTTCAGAATTCGGATGATCGCGGATGGAAAAGAAACACGGCACATATACATATTCGATCTGGCTGCAAAATTACCACGTTCAGGATTAAATGGCAAAGGGATACGGCTCGGAGAGCAAGCTGATTGTGAGTCAGCATCGATGGTACGGTGATTACAACGGCATGTAATTGCACCGCGGCTCGTTTAACATCGCCGCCGCCGACCGGTGTCAACTCTGCCTGTTCAATAAGCGCCTACAAACCTATATTAACCTCGCGAAGGATGCGTCGCGAATCGTTGCCACGCATTCGTGCCACCAGGTAATAAAAAAAAGGGAGGGAGAGAAGAAAGATGAACGGAGTGAGATAGAGTGTACGTATAGGTTTGAACGATTGGATGGGACAGATGGAAGTTTTTCAAACGAATTTAGTTATTTATTAATTTTCTTGAGTTCGTTTTTGATGTTTTTTTTCATTTTTCTTATTTTTTCCTTTTCTCTCATGAATGAATTGGAATTGAATTTTTTCAAACGAATCTATTTATTTATTAATTTTCTTGAGAGGTAATATTTTTCACTTGATATTTGTGATATTTTTTTTTTTTCATTTCTTCATTTTTATTATTCTTTTTTCAAGGAATAGAATAAAATTGGATTTTCTCTGAAATCACTTCATATTTTTGATATTTTTTTTTCTTGTTTCATTTTTTGCTTTTCCTGTGGATAAGATGGAATCGAATTTTCTCAAACGAAGTTAATAACAATTTTTTATTAGTTTCTTCCTTTGTTTAATTCTTTTAGTAATTTTCTCGATATATTTTTCATATTTTTTCCCTTTTCCATTCTTTGTTTTTTTTTACATTTTATCCTTTAATTGAAGGCAACATTTACATTAATGTAAAAGTTTCAAACTGCGATGATTCAATGATATCGATGGAATACTTTTCGATTATTAGAACGGAACGCACGAGAAAGCGCGAGAATTTTTGGATTTTGCGCTTACAACAGCGAATTGGAAAATCCCTCGAAATTATCGTAAGAGAAAAATTCTACGCAATCTTATCTCTCACTACTTCTTCCTCGACTGTACTCGTTTCATCCCGAAAGCGCTCATCGATCGCGCTTCATTTTCACGAATCGGTTATCACGCGAGCCGCTGAAGGAAAACCCGCATTAAAGAGAATCTGTTCTCCTCGCGAGGAGAGATTAAAATCGCTTTAACGTCGGCCACTCGACACGCGCGAAAATCCATTTTGCACGCGCGATGCGCGCCAGGAATTATTGGCAATTGAAACTTCACCGGCCGTCGATTGGTGTGACATCTAACCGCAATTTCTCCACATCGCTACGTGGGTCTCCGTAGGGGCAAGAGGGGGAGGGAGAGGGGGAAGTGGAATGGCTCCCTCCTCTTTCGGATGGATGTTTCGCGAGGAGCCCAAGCAACACAACCGTACCCGTAATCGCTTCTACTAACACCAACCTTTTTTACGTAATACACCGATACGCCATCGCACTTGTTTCACTTGACGATCTGATGTATGGCGCTCGCGCCGCCGTTACTTTCTAGATCATTTTCCGTTTCTTAACTCCTCTCAACTTTTTCCTCCTCTCTTCGCTCGTTCGTTCACATTTTAGTTGAAAATGTTGGCTGATTGATGATCGATTAATAATCATTTTTTTAAGCATCATTCTATTCTTTTTTCACTCGATTGACAGATATGATTTTTAATTTATTGTTTGATTCTCGTTGTTTAGTTGAAAATATTGATTGTAATGTACGTTTCTCAAGCATTGTTCTATTTTCTTTACCGTGTATTTTTGGAATGATTACATGTAATAAATATAGTTTTCGTTATTTTTCGTTGAAAATAATGACTGATTAATGAGCGTTATTGTTCTATTTTCTTTTTTTATTATACATTACTACTATCCTGCCATATTGGAAATGGCGGCAAATTCAAATATAAATGGTAAATATTAGGAATGGGAGGATTGAGTGAAAAGTAAATAATGTGCAATTCAGAATTGCAATATGCTTATTTTTCTGACATAATCCCTATTTAAGAATCTTTCAATAAGATTTTTCATTCCGTCGTTGAAATATTTCCATAATCCAATTTTGGGTTCAAATCCAAAAAATTTTGGAAAGAAAATGGAAGGAATTTCAACGACATTCACTTGGTATTCGAAACAGGAAGTAAATTCGCGAAAGAGAGAGAGAGAGAGAGAGAGAAATATAAAGAAACACATACATGAAATCCTTCGCTTTATAAATATAGCCTAGAGAAGACATATCATTAAATCTCATAACAGGCCGTCATAAAGCATCGAGACGTCATATCGAAAGCATTACTCTGTGATCAAGCTCGATAACGAAAAGCGGACACTATACTTAGAAACGAAAGGGGGGGAAAAAAGCAAAAAGAAGAAGAAAAAAAGATGAATGAATAATCAAGTATCAAAAGAATTACAATGTAAATACAGACCGATTATATTCGCCTACAGTCATAAAACACGTTCTTTATTACGTCTCTATTGTCGCCTGGCAGCTTGTAAAGGTTAAACGCGAAATCATTGTGACAGAACTATACTGCAACCTATTCGTGACACCAATCCCAGTTCCCCAAACCTCTCTCCGATATGTCAATATTCATCTTCCCCCTCCTTTTCCTCCCCCCCCTCCCTTCAACGAATATTCTATTTCAATTAAAGTTCAAACCGAAGTATCAAAGTATCCCCATAGAGAAATTTTAATGTATACAAAAAATTTATAATAAAAAAAAAAAAATACCTCTCAACCATGATTATAAGAGATTCGCGTATGTGACTTTCGCGTGTTGACACCGCCATCTATGTTTACCGCCAATTCGAATTTCCCTCCGTCCGTGCCGTTTATAAGTTATCAATCACCTACTCCACACGCGACTATTACGACTATACGCGAACCGTGCAATCTATAATTCCAACTGACGATTCAACGCGTGATTCCTGATATTAAGGATTCGCAAACGAAGGAGGAGGAATCGGGGAATTTCTTCTCGTCCGTCAATAAATTAACCGCAATTTCGTTAGCCGCAGATTTACGACCACCCTCGTCGCGAGTATCGAGCTCCTCTTTTTCCACGGCGATATAACGATATCCATTCCCGGACGGATGATTCACATGACTCGAGTTTTCGTTCTCGAGTTTCGCTATCGCTCGGGGGGAAAAATTTTTTTATTACCATGCGCCGGTCGACGAGAGAGCGAAACATATGATATGTTTAATTTATTTGATTTCACAATTTGGATACGTTGCAAAGTAATGCAAAGTAAGAATTTTATTGTCACACAACGTCAATCACAACGAGAGTGAATGTGTTCATTTTACGTTTCGCGCCGATTGATATCACGTTATTATATTGATTTATCATGCATTTCGTTTAATTCGTTCTTCCACATTCAACGAGAGTGAAAGTTAAGACATTCGGTTTAGATTTTACGTTTTCGATGTGTGACGAAATGGAAACAAAAATTCTAATGTGAATCATTCAGAATCGAATTTTATTATCGCGTAAAATTATTATTTATATTTTAGGTAGAAGACACGTTTAATTTTGTAATTCCAGAAATGAAACGAGAAAATTTAAAATTCTAACGAGAACGCGAATAATATACATTATTTCGACGAATTTCGAGGAAACTTTCGAGAGAGTAAAGAATCAAAGGCATTGAATTTATATTATACATTAGGAGATGCATCGATAAATAAAATGGAAAAAAAATCGCGACTACGAGTGTAAATCATAGTCAGAGACAGGTCGCGACCGTATAATTGATTTTTCCCTAGCCGCGAATGCGGAAAGGAAAGAAACAGGGCTGCGTGCGATACCGTTCTCCGGCGTACTGTTTTCGTTCGTGTGTGACCAGCCTTCGTATCCGGATTTGCTCGTGACCTTTTCAATCGTGGATCGAGCGACACCGTGTAACGAGCGTGAAAATTAAAAACGAATATATCTTTCGAATATTATCGTGGAGAAAGTAAAGTAAGAGAAAATTATCGCAAGAATAATAACGCTCGTATAAGGATAACAAACTTGTGAGTCACTTGGTATTTGAGATCGAATTGGTTACTGAGAATTCTGAGATAATTTAAGAATAACAATAAATTCGACCGAAGCGATTGAAACGCATAATTGGTTGTCAGCCCTATTAAACGATACTAAACTGACTAATGCGACCACGAGTGGCTGTGGCCATTGCCACGTGGTATTTGATGTTTCGTCAATTCCTTTTTTTTTTTTTTTCCTTTTCTTTTCTTTTTTTCCCTCAAGCGGCGGAATGCGGTACTAAATGGAACTTTGGTAATAAA